AATATCCATTCTAAAGGAAATCAACCCTGAGTGCTCTCTGGAAGGACAGATCCTGAAGCTGAGGCTCCAGTACTTTGGCCATCTCATGAGAAGGAAGAATCCCTGAAAAAGACCCTGATGTTGGGAAAGTGTGAAGGCAAGAGGAGAAGGGGACGACAGAGGATGAGACGGTTGGGCAGTATCATCGAAGCGACCAACATGAATTTGATCCAACTCCGGGAGGCAGTGGAAGACAGGAGGGCCTGGCATGCCGATGGGTTCACAAAGAGTCAGACACGAGTAAATGACAAAACAATAACATCTGATTTAAACCCAGTCATCCTGCCTTATAATATATTCTGCATAATCAAAGGACAATAGTGCATATTATAGAAAAGAGAAATTCTTTTGCATGACAAACATAAACCTTTGAGAAGTTACATGAAGACTGATTTAGGGAAATTACTGAGAACCCAATCTGTATTTACCATTACCAGGTGTTATAATAACAATGACCCCAATATCTTTTCTTCACACTACTTAGTCCATATAGCTTCATACTGCAATGAGCTGCAAGTCTTTATTTTGGTAATTGTAGATCTGTGGGATTGGACATTTTAAATGACATGCTATTAGTCACAGCTTTACAGTGATAATCCAAGAATTGTTTTCCAGTGAGAAGAACACTGAAGACACATTATTCATTATAAGCATGCTCTGATAGTGCTCAGTTTTGCCAAATTATCCAGTGATAATGAATGCTGAAACACAAAATACTAAATTGCATAGGCCTTTAGTAACTAAATAGCTGGAACTCCACCACTTTTTGTTTCCATTCTAGCGCTGAAAGGAATTGGATCAAATATGTTAAAAAGGACTCTGCTTATACATAAGGACTCCCAAAATGTTATTAGCTAATTTTTAAAAAATATACAGTGGTGCCTCGCATAACGAGCGCACCGTATAACGAAGAATTCGCATAGCGATCCGTTCTCTGGGATCGCTAATGCGGAGGCATCGTGTCGGTCCCTATGGGAAAAACTCGCTTACCGAAGACGGGCCGACGGGTGCCAAGAAGCTTCTCCTCTTGCCGCCGCCCCCCCAAGCCTCCCACTGAGTCGGGCGATCAGCTGTTCGGCGGTTCTAAAATGGCCGACGGACGCCCGCGCAGCGTTTTCGCGCCCTCCCCTCGCTTACCGAGGGCGTGAAAATGGCTGCTGCTATGGAGGAAACTTCGCTGAACGGTAAGTTTAGGGTACAATGGGCTTATAGGTTCCGTTTAGCGACGATTTCACATAGCGACGGTTAATACGGAACGGATTAACCTCGCTATGCAGGGCACCACTGTATAACTATTTATATATCCCACACCTTAAGATATTCAAAGTAGGACAAAGTAGCATACACATGAATGATCCACCATCACCAACTATTCTCTGAGTGGCTTATAAAAAATATGACAACTAAAAGATGCAATCAACAAAGCTTCTAATAAGTTTTGAAAAAGTAAAACAGATTTTGAAACAAAAAGTCCTGTCAAAAACATATGGACTATTTAAAAGCCAGTGAAAATAAAAAATACTCATCTGATACGAATCAGAGCATACAGATGATGCCAGCTGAACCCTTCTGGAAAGGCTGATACCATAAACTATGGTACACCACCCCAAGCATCCTCTGCATAATGGGTACCTTCCTTGCCTCATTTAATAGAGACATTCAGAAGAGGTGCAAAACTTGGTGGCAGTGTTCTCATCCTCATCTCCACCAATATCTGGGTGGCCACATTTTACTTGAAATTTCTGAAACATTTTCAAAAGCAGCCATGTTAGGTCAGCTCTAGATGCAGCTAATTCATAAAATGAGGAACAATTATTATAGAGAGGAATTTAGCATTCCTCTCTAGAATGATTGTTCCTAAGCAAAACCTTCTTTAGCTTTTAAAAATCATTTTCGTATATCAACACTACGTGCAGTTTCGCAACAAATCTAGAACTCCCAGTTACAAATAAGATCCTTCAGGAGGAGTACAACACTATAGAGTATTATTTTCATTTACACACCACATTCCAGCTGTACGCATTCTCATTTATTTTCAATTTGAAACAGAACTGTGGGTGTGATGAGATGGGCATTTAGCCCACTGTTTGGTCTCCTGTCGGGACGACTTGGTTCAATTCCTTTTCCAACAATCACAGGATATAATTACTGGAGTGAACCAAAGCATCTTTAGAGCATTATTCCTACAGTGGACCCTTGACTTACAGACGGCTTGAGTTACAGACGGCTTGACTTCAGACTTCTCTGGCCGAAGATTTAGGTTTGACTTGCAGACTGAGATTTGACTTACAGACCAGAAAAAAACCAAAATGGAACAAAAACAGCCTGTTATGGGATTAATCGGTTTTCAATGCACTGTACGTCAATGGAGACTTGACTTACAGACTTTTTGACTTGAGAACCACCTTCCAATACGGATTAAGTTCTCAAGTCAAGACCCCACTGTACTTGCACCTTTCTGGATCCCTATCAGGGGCTTCTACTTTTCTGGTGCAGGTAGGTTGCTCCATTCTGGTTTACTGTATTTCCGGTGCATGTGTTTACTAGAAATTAACACAAGCAAGCCTTGTGGCTGTTTGATTGCCTGCTGGTAGATCTGGCTGCAAGTAGGTTCTCAGCCGGACAGTTAAGCCAGTAAAAGAATAAACAAAGACAAGAAAAGGGGGGAAAGTACCCTTGTTGCTCCCACCTGTCTTCTCCCACTTCTGGAAGGAAGTTTTCTACATATATAGATGATCCCTTTTTAAAAATCACACCCTCTTGTACTTCCATGGAGACACAGAAGAAGGTGTCACTTGCCAATATTCTGAAATGGCTCTCTTCACAATATGGCAAACTGACATCTGAAGAAGCCAAACCAAATACAGTCATCACTTGAGTTGTGTATACCATTTGGATGTGAGGAACACAAGTGGCATACCAGACCTTGACCTGGCCTGTATTGACCCTATTTAGCCCACTCAGCCTACTCCCATTACCACATGTAGAGAAGCCCTGTATCCCAAAGAATATAATTATGCGTTTTTAAAGCACAAACATCTTCATATCTCCTTTATAACTGTCATATAACTGTTACTTAGTATTTTTTTTCAAATATTATTCTGAAGCAGAGCAGCTTGGTAAGACCATAGTCTCCTCTCCCATCAGAAAACTACAATAAAATAGAAGACCACACTTCCTCAGCTCCAATCTGAAATACAATTTGGTACAGCAGGAAAACTATGAAAAGGGCCACCATAAATTAGAATTGACTTGACACACATGATTATTATAAGCATGGTCAAGAAAACTGGCAGATTTTTTATTTCTTCCTTTCTGTACCTCTGGTGCATTTTCATTATTCTCTAAACCAGAGTGGCCACTTCACTTTGACAACTTCAAAGTCCTGGAGTGGCTCTTGAGTATGCCCATGTGTGTATGAAATATATACAGTATATCCAAACATAGGTGCTTGGAGGCCACTTAATTCTTTGTACAACTGCAAGAGCAAAACCCAAAGTTGGACTTAATCATAGTTTCCTTTTACATTGGGAAATATGGCCACAGCTTCAAAACAACCCAAGGTACCCAAAACAGTTTAAACCATAGTTAAAGCTAGCTTGTGCTCTTGTCTTCGTCAGAATACTTTAACCCGTAATTCACATCACTCTCTCCATAACATTTTTAAATGCTACAAATATAAAAGTGGTAGCTCAATAACTTTAGCAACACTCCCCGGGTAGTGTGGCACCTTATAGAGTGCAACAGATAACAGCAGTTCACTCCCTGAGATTTATAAATTATAGCATAAGACTCCACATCCTGAGATGCATAATTAAACTGTAGCTTTATCCTCTTAGTGCTAAGGAATCATGAACAGCAAGAGTATTACAGCAAAGCTTTTTTTAGCAGTGACAATTCATGCTCTTTAGAGTCAACCTCTCATTACAAAAAGCCACAATGAAAAATGCTAACCATACATTATTGAAAGAGAGAAATCCAGGACTTCTTAATATAAAGAACACATAATAAGAAAGGTTTCAAACAGCAAGCTATTGGATGTCATCAAGGACTCCTGCTAACCTGCAAAATCATCCTGCAAGCCTATCTGATTTTTAAAAGGTGCCTGTTTTCTCCATAAAGGCACAAATGCATTTAACTATCCAACCTTCCACAATGTCTAGTACAGANAAAAATGGGGGGGGGGGAGAGAATAAGAGAGAGCAACTATGAACAGAAATCTCATTTGAAGAGGCTAAACCTAGAAGGCAGGTGCATGAATGCTTGTAGACAAAAATCTGTCTGTGTAAAGGCTGAGGGGAAGCAAAAGCTTAAGGCAACAGGTATAGCCACCTCTCATTCCACCCACATTTGCAACATGGGCTAAACTACAGTAGTAGCTCATTCCACCTTAAATGTGCATTCATCTTTGGCATTTCCTTGTCTGACCACACAGCCAGATGGTTGCCACATCCAGAACTCTTGTCTGCTGGGTGGGATCTGATAAGACCTCATTTTCTTGGAAGGCATTCCGGATTTCCTCCTTCCTTCCTTCTTCTCTCTCCCCCCGCCTCAACTAAGCCCCTCGAGCCAGCCCTAAGAGGAAGACACTCTAAACGGCTTCCACCTTCTCACGGGGTCTATATACACAAGCCCCTCCACATCTCCGGTGTCCCTTATCAGTCGGTCCATTCTTTCCCCTGATACTACATCCAACAGCCCTTCAGCCTCGGAGGAGAGGGAAAGCGGGAGCGCGCGTTTCCTCTTCCGTCACCAGGCTACAGAAATGGGGATAAAAGAGGCAAGAGAGAGAGAGAGAGAGAGAGAGCGAGCCAGGTCCCGGCCGCCGCTGCCGCCGCCTTCCCAGCCAGAAAGACCCTCCCGCCTCCATCTCCATTCCAAGGGGCGCCAGCTCTTCCCGGAGTCGCCCCTCTGGGGGGGGGGAGGGGAGGGAGAAGATGCGGCTCGGCTAGTTTTCTCACCTGCACCTCTGCCTCCTCCTCCTCTCGGACTGCCGCCGCTGCCGCCGCTCCCTTCGGCGCCACCACCCCGCGGGCTCCCCCCGCGGCGGCGCCTCCTTCTCTTCCCTCACCACCTCCGCCGGCATCCAGCTGCCTCTCCCGGTAAAGGGACCAGAGTCCCACGTTGGGGAGGAAGACGAGGACGGCCAGCGCCAGCCCCACCGCCTGCAGCAGCCGCTTCTGCTTCCGCCGCATCCGAGACGCCGCCCGCGCCGAGAAGGAGCCGGAGCCCAACTTTCCTCACGGGCTTCTGAGGGGAAACGGCGCCGGTTGGATCGGAGCGACGCGCGAGGGCCACCGAGCGGACAGGCAGCCCGTCTGTCAGCTACTTCCGCTCCTGGGGGTGGGTGGGGTGGACACTACCACTCCCACCG